CCGAAGACTAACTAGAAGAGAATGCATACATAATATATAGAAAGGAACGAAGGAAATAAGATCCTTTGCCTTTCTCCCATGACACTTAATTACACAGTTCTGTCTTGAGTACAATTTTTGTTGTAAATAGCAATTTTCATGCAAAATACGGAGCGTAGTTGCAGTCGATGGTCCCGTGTGACCGTCGACCTGTCACCTCTCTCTAGTTATAAGCGCATCCCTTTGGTCGTTGTCAGAACCACCAGAGAGCTCTATTTTTCCTTAATCCAATTAGCCGCTGGAAGCGTAGATTGGAGAAGTGGCACGGGCGACGTAGTCGAAGTCTCTTGTAATTAGCGTAGATCGTTGGTCACATGGATACCAGTGATTAAACCAATTTGATTTTATAGGCACAGCGAGACTTCGACTTTGTCGGGGAGGGTCGACTTAAGAAAACCTTTTCAACATACTTGTTTATACCCCCATGTAACGGCACTCATTTTTCACTTGAGCTTCTCCGACACAAAATATTCCAGATAATGGGTTATAGTGTTTAATTACACATTTAATTTTACCGTTAACGCAAAAACTGTTTATATTGTTTTGTCTGTAATCGCATTATCTCCTCCTCTTCCCAGTTTTTACGACAACTTAACGACTCCTATTTCTCTATAGTTTTTCTTTTAATCTTTTCTTAAAGATAAGTAATATTCTTCCCGAATACTTGATTACTTTAGTCGAAATTACTCCCCTTTTTTTCCCCCAAAAAATAACTCAAATAAATTTAAAAAATGTGTGTTTGGCTCGCTTTTAATCCATCCTACACTTACAAATTTGTATTCATTATACGATTCTCCATTTTTTTTTTCTCTCCCTCTCTCTTTTTCCCTTTAATGTTCTCGATTCCAACACTAAACTTCTCGATGAATAAATTGAAAAAAAAGTGACAAATTTAATGTAAACACAACGTTATTAACTTCACTATCGTTCCATATAAAATCGGTAATTTATATTAAAAAAAAAAAGGTATTTATCCCATCTCTATGAGAATTTATGTATACAAGTCGACCCTCCTATAACACTGTTGATTATTCCGTTTTATATGAATTCCATGTTGTACGAATCACTTAGATTTTACAAATACGTGAGCAGTTCACAGTCCGGCACACGTATTTGTAAAATCTAAGTGACTCGTACAACATGGAATTCATATAATACGGAATTATCAATCAATAGTGTTATAGGGGGATCTACTGTATTTAATTAAAATTTATGAATTTACCACACACACACACACACACACACACGAGAAATTGTTTTGAACTTTAATCAAAAGTTAAGCTCAATTAATAAAAAAGTAATTAAAGAGTTTTTCTTCTAATTCATGACAAAATGATATTTTGAGGAGCTTAATTACATTTTGATAGAGGACATTGATCTCTTATGCCATTATTTAAATCTGAAATCTAATTCCTTTAATGGTTTCTTTGACTACAGAATAAAAAAAAAAGAAAAAAAGGGGCAGTCAAGTAGAGGGTTCGTGTGTGGAATGTGGATGGGATGTAGATTTTTCAGTCATTTTTGGCATAATTTATGAAGTCTCTCTCGAATCTTTCTGTAGCACATCGGATATTCTGCTGAATGATAGGTCGATTTCCTTTCTTTTTTTTTTTTTTTTTTCTTTTCCTATAGATAAACTGGTGCAATATTTGGAATAGGAAATGCGTGTAAATGTTCTTGTTTTTCCGTAACAGTTCTTCAAATGTTACAAGCAGACAACCGTGAAAATTGATCTCGAATGATCCTTTACTTTACTAAATAATTATAATTAAGTTTCCTTTATCCAAACTGATTTAAAAAACGAGTAATTTAAACGTGTCCAACAATATTTGAAATGTTTAAATTTATTTTTTTTATATATATATAAATTATTGTTGTCACGTAAGCGAGATACAAAAGCAAGAGTTAGTAATCAACAATAGGACACCTTTTTTTCTCTCTCTCTCTCTCTCTCTCTCTCTCTCTCCAATTAATCCTATTATGTGTATATTCAATAAGTTATTTTTAAAGAACAAAAGAAGATTAATAAAAAGAAGAATTAAAAATTACGTATGGCTCATAAAATGAGTTTAATTGCTTAAGAGAAACGATGTCGTACACGCTCGTAATATTCTAATAGGTATGAACACTCGATAAGAGTCTGGCTTAAAACAAGATTTGAATGAGTAATGACTTTGCTATCTTTGATATTTAGTAACAAACAGAGAATATTAAAATGTATCTATGATCTGTTTTACTTCTTTAATGTAAAAACTTTCGTTTTACAATGGTACTTATTATAATACTTTGTATATATCTATACACAATGCCTTACTGTACATCACAGTAAGGCATTGTAATTAGACGTTATTAATTTATGGTGTAAAATATATATATATAGAAAGACCCAGGAAGGTTTACTTATACGAATCGATACTCGGCTACAATTTATATTTAAAAATATATTAGAAATTTAAATTTTTATACGTCTCATCCTACGTTATTTAAATTCGTTATCGTACTTTCACATCGAGATTTATCCACACCCATTCGTCAACAGATTCTAGATAAGACCTTAAAAAAAAAAGTATATGAATCCTATGCGTGAGATAAAAGGAAAGGCCATAGAAACACAAACAACAAACAATTAGAACCTCTTAATCAGAAACGTAACCTATTATATAATCTTTAATAACTGTTTACTACACTATCTAACAGCTTGGAATCGATAATCGGATCTCTCTGCATCGTCAGGTAAGTCGAAGATGGCCGATTAATCAAAATTATGGATAGCGTGTGACCAAGTGACAATTACCTCGAATGGAAAATGATAATCGTTCTCTTCGACTACACGATCAATTAATAATCAATGTCACTACAGCGTAAATAATTGAAGTAGTAAAAAAAAAGTAAAAAGAATGCCATCAACAAACAATATTTTTTTTTTATGCCTCTATCAATTCGGTTCTTTATCTCGAATTTGAATCTATAAGAGGAAGGAGGAAAGAAAAGAAAAAACATTTTTCTATATAATAAAAGCGATCTTAACAATAGAGAGGGGTTGATTGTAAATTGTTAATCTTATTGACGGAAACGGCACGTGATTTAAAAAAAAAAACAAAAAAAACAATCGATAAAATCATCTAGGCACGTTTCTAGTTTGATACATTTAAACAATACAAAAGAATACTTTCATTTTCTTAATCTCTCCCACCCTCCTCCTCCTCCTCTCTCCACACTCCCCGGCGCTCGATAGGTGTAATTTTTGTATGATTTATTGCAAATTAAAGTTTATAAAATTAAGATAAAATAAAATAAATAAATAAGAGATTGTCTGTGACGGAATCTAATAATCTCAAGAGCCAAGTTACCATTGGATAGCGATCAGTAGAATAGAATGAATCCGGAAATTCTTACGTGTTATATACACTGTAGTAGTGTTTTCTGGTGTTGAAAACCGAATGGAAGAGTCCTCTTTTGAAAAATGAGGAGCAGTTTAGTTGACTCGACTGATTGCAGCAAATGAGAACATATGCTGAGTGATTAAAACGTCTGGTAATTTCGATATCTCCATTAGTAAAAGCTAAGTCAAAAAGGGGACGTTGATTTAATGCAGTGATTTTATAGTTTCACGCCTCAATATTTAATTGGAGCGTGACGTTAGAAGAAGGGAAGAAGAAAAACATTAAAGTGATAATGAAGAGACTATGATTGGTGGTCAGATTAACGGCATTATTTTTCATTCGGCGTTAATTAATTATCGATGATTACCACATATATGTCTTTAATGCGTCGGCTGGCATTGACATGGAAAAGAGCAAAAGAATTAAAAGAAGAGTGACGTAGTTTTAAAATAATTTTCCATTGGTCGAAATTAATTGATACTTTCCAGGAGCTATTTATTACGTCTGGAATAAAAGTAACCACTTGTTAGTATCATAATTATTATTATTTTTTTTTCCTCTTTCCATCTAGCATAGTGGCTGCCTGGGGGATACGGCGTGTGTGGTAGCTCCTGAATTCCAGTGACATCTTTCTTTCTATATTCACATTAATTTGCAACTTTTTAATCGAATGTCACATCTCGTAAGTAATGTCTTATTTTGAAATTGCCTTAACGTTTAATAAAGCAATAATGTCGTTTAATAAGACGTTACCGATTTAACGAGGTGAGAATGGCGTGGCATCTCTTTCTCCTTCTCTTTCTCTCTTAAATATCCAATTTTTATATAAATATAAGAGTATAAATAAACTTAATTTGCATTCTGATACGAAGTGACAATCCGTCTTTATTCTTTTATTATTAATTGTAAAGGGAATTTATCTAAAATATTCGAAACTTTCGAAAATTCTATCGTAACCCCTATAATTTGAATTCCTCTGTCATACGATCTATGTCTTTTAACATCACTTTCTCCTTTTTTCGGTTGGGGTCGACTTGAATAATGGCACGTGTACACCTTTAGAGGAGGAGACAAGATTTCGGAATTATAGATATTCACCCCTAATAACATAATAATAATAAGTTAGAAAACTTGATCTAAGTCAAAAAGGGAGGAGTTTTACCTCAAGCTATCAAACTCCCTGTAAATAAGAATATATACATTATAGGTCTACGATTATACCATTTTAAATGCTTCTAAACCCTCTCTAGTTATTATCTTCGACAATTATGATCCAGTTAACCTCCTACTAACTAATTAATCTATTATCTTTCGATCTAGTCTCCCTCATTTAGTAAAGAGTTTAATGGTTGGTCGCTTAATAGAAGAGAGAGAAAAAAAATACAGTAATAAATTTACATGTGTGGCTAGAAAAACATGGCAAATCTCAAAAGAGTTAATACTTAAATTAGTAGTTGCAACTATTGAATTCTTCTTCTTTTCTTTTTTCAGATTTAATTTACTAGATTTAATAGTGTCTTTAAGAAATGAAGTTTTTTAATTAAGTATATTCTTGTACAAAACTTAAGGAAGATTGTGTTAAATAGGAATTTTAAGGAAATTTCTCCTCCTCTTCTCTCTCTTTTCATAAGAGAGAAGAGGAGGAGGAGGAGGAGGAGGATGATACTTTTCATATGAGAGAAGAGGAAGATGATACTTTGCATATGAGAGAAGAAGAGGAGGATGACACTTTGCATATGAGAGAAGAAGAGGAGGATGACACTTTGCATATGAGAGAAGAAGAGGAGGATGATACTTTGCATATGAGAGAAGAGGAGGAGGATGATACTTTGCATATGAGAGAAGAGGAGGAGGAGGAGTAGGATACTTTTCATAAGAGAGAAGAGGAGGAGGAGGAGGAGGAGGAGGATACTTTTTATATGAGAGAAGAGGAAGATGATACTGTGCATATGAGAGAAGAGGAGAATGATACTTTTCATAAGAGAGAAGAGGAAGATGATACTTTGCATATGAGAGAAGAAGAGGAGGATGACACTTTGCATATGAGAGAAGAAGAGGAGGATGACACTTTGCATATGAGAGAAGAAGAGGAGGATGATACTTTGCATATGAGAGAAGAGGAGGAGGAGGAGTAGGATACTTTTCATAAGAGAGAAGAGGAGGAGGAGGAGGAGGAGGAGGATACTTTTTATATGAGAGAAGAGGAAGATGATACTGTGCATATGAGAGAAGAGGAGAATGATACTTTTCATAAGAAAGAAGAGGAAGATGATACTTTGCATATGAGAGAAGAGGAGGATGAGGCGGATGATACTTTTCATATGAGAGAAGAGGAGGAGGAGGAGGAGGAGGAGGAGGATGATGATGATGATAAGAAGATAATGATTTAAACTTAATTTGAAATTCAACTGATATAAATTTCGTTCTTATTAATGTAACAATAAATAAATTTTGCATTTATTATGCTTGAAATAAATAGAATAAATTGCCACGAATTATCTCGACTATAGGAGGTATGCCATGAGAACGTATTTCGTGATTGGTATAAATAACAAAATATCGTACAGATATAATCTTGTTGAGTCGAATAAATGCTTCGGTAGATTTTTTTAATGTGTTTTATAAAATACGTTCACTCAAAAAAAAAAAAAAAAAGAATTCATATTTACTTCGCTACATTCCGAAGCATTCTTAAACATAATTGAACACTCCTTCTTGTCAGAAAGACTCGGTTAAGAAATACGACTTGTAAAATATTTATGTTGGCTTCTTGATAAGAATGATCACTATAAAGGCCACACATATATATATAAATATATATATATAAAAAAAAAGTTAGAAAAAAAAATTCAAGAAAAAAACAACAAGGCCCGAAGCTAGAACGTTTACTTACGTGATTAGTTTTAATATTTTCTCTATAATAAGCATCCTTATTTGTAGTTTCTACTTGGTTGGATAAAATAAACATAGATCTAATTGGATAAAACATTTCAAGCATTATAAATGACGTTTGTTATTGGTTATTTTTATATATATTATAAGCCTACAAACTTGATACATTTGACTGTTTAAACGTGAAAAGTTGTATCAGAAATCGAATTTATTGATAATTATATTTACAAACGAGATAAATGAATAAATATAATGGAAATTCATCAAATTATTTCAGAGATTTAATTGACATTTCTATTCAAAATGGCTATTATATAAGAATGTTTGTCGAATGTAAATATTACATGTTTAATTTTCGATATCCCCCTTACAGTGAATGGGGTAAAGGCATTTATTTCCTTTTTTTTTAAATGGATCTAAAAGAAATTATAGAGTTGGAGAGAAGTTGCACTTTAATTAATATGCCATTCTCAAATATATTCTTCATCAATTATTCAGACAAAAAAAAAAAACAGAAATATCCTTTAAAACACTTGGTTGTGTTAATGACTACTCATCATATACTTAACAGGGTCTCGAGCGTATTAAAATTTATAGATACTTTGGTATGGCTTCTCCTGTGCATAGATAAAATACTAACACCACCGGCGTAAAAATATACGCCTCATTTCTTGTCGTCAACCCTCAGGGGCGTTAGTATTTTCCTCCATTTCTTACAGCCAATGTAGAATGCATCGTTTGAGAGGATGGATGTTGTTTTTACCAAAAAATTTCACTTTTTTTACTAAGAAAAATATTAAAAGAGTTAACCATTAACAGAATTTTAACATCATATTTATTTAATAAATAAATTTAATTATTAGATTTAATATTAAGAAATNATATATATATATATATAAAATACAGCGGCTTCTTACGTTTTTTTCCATCAGATGCTATTTCAAACAAGCTATATGACATCACGTGTGGAAGTTGTAAAGTACAAGAGAACAGAATGCTGAAAACATCGTTACAGTAGCCTCTACTTTCATGAAAACAATGACACTTCGTTCTCCCATGAGATTACGAAGTAATGTTTCCATCTCAACCTTCTGAGTAACATGCTTGTTCCCATCGTTCTTCGATAAAACCTATCAACTGATCGAAAGCAGCCATCTGGAATTTGCTAAATTTCATTTTATTTTCAAGTCACAAATGTTCTTAAGGTATTTTTACGTTTAAAAAATAAGTATTTTTAATGGTTTGTTATAAAATAAAAACACGATAAAGCTTAACAACAACTACTTGCTTGCAATATTAAGTACTATGAAGATTTTAAACCCTTCTACACAGTAATTCTTCCTTAAAATAAATAAATTTAATTATTTTATACGACGTTTAACACCTCGTTAATACCCGTCGCGTGTCTTTCACCCATACAATTCATGTTAACATCGGCATGTATATCTTTCTGTCAAAGGATCGGTCGGATTTAATTGTATTTTTAATGCCCATTTATTACCGTCCCAGCCAATTAGCCTTCCATAACAGCGGATCAACAGTAGAAACACGTTTATCGATTACATTGATGCCCTTTAATTTCACGTAGTACACCGAAAGGGGAGGAGGATAAATGAAGATGAGGACTAGAGATATCGTCATTTGCAGTACTCATGTAAAAATGCTACCCGGACGTGACAGTATATAGATTTATTACTTCTGGACACGGAATGGCTCATCTGGGAAACCGAGGAATTGAGATCCTGCATTTTGAAAAGATCCCCGCCTGGTCACAGGTTTAATAAGTATGTGTGTATGTAGTAAATAGAGACGGAGTGGTTTGGTTTCATTCTCTTAAGAAGACGAACCTCTGCGTTGTAATTTCTGATTGTTGTGACAAAGTAATGTCGGAATATTTATTACCTCCTAGATCACCTTTGCATAGCTCCAGGCATTTACATAGGAGCGTGACGACAATTTCAAATCTTTAACCCCGTTCAATTGCTTAGTAATTGCTCTTAGACCACTTGTATGCATCTGACCAATTTATATTTTATCCTTGAATACCGCCATTTTTTTTATTTTCTACTAGAAATTTATTTTTACATATTAATCAGGAGCATACTTTTAAAATTTTTTCTTTAAATAGCATAAAATTTACAAATAAATAATATTAAGAGCTATCTATCGATCATCGATATATTACGCTCTTATTATCTAAACAATGAGACGTACACAATAATTAGATCGTGAACAATCACTCAACGTGGATTATATGTTATAGAGTATAATGATATTATAGAATCTAACAAGTTAACAATCGAGGGAGGAGGAGGAGGAGGAGGGTTTTTTTTTCCCTTGTTAGGAGCCGTTTAAATGATATATAAATGTATTTGTAGCAATGTCATCTTTAGATAATTTGTAATAAATATAAGTTAGTTTGGGTGACGTCGGTAAATACTTTAGAATTTAATTTAATTTGACAAGTAGGAGAAAAAAGTATGGAGTCGTTTTGACGTTTACGGAATATTAAAAAGAAATAACGAGCAAAAGTTGTTGGGAAAATATTCCATTGATATTAAAATTGTCAAAAAGAGAAGACGTGAGTCAATTTGTGTAAGTGTTGAGCGAATTTAAATACAGTTGGTGAGAAAGAAAGTGGACAGAGTAAATGTGGCCTCTATTATAAATACTTTGACGTGAATGTCCACATCCGAAATGCTGGCTTCGTATCTCGACGCGATGATGGAGTACATAGAGTCAGTGAGGGAGAGAGAAAAAACAGGTTGGCTGAAAGATTTATATGTCTGGGACATGTTCTGTCAGAAACCGTGGATGTGCTACAACTGATTCGACCAGAAAAATGAGGCGGAAAGCAAGCGAGACTACAGCCTTCAACCAATGCAATTACAAGTCGGACGGCTCGCAATGACTTGGAATGCAAACCAACTTCAAACAAACGGCCAACAGAGACGGAAGAGTGAAAAGCGAACGGGGGAAAGAAAAGGATGGGGAAAAAAACACATCTCCCTCACCTCCCCGTTCTCGACTAGGGATGGGAAGGTAGCGCCTGCAAAGCGACTGATATGGTTCTTCCATCTGCATATAGCAGGAAGAGTCCCTGCGGTGTAAGCCGTACATCTTACCAGACTACAGCACGTGAAGGCCCCAATGTGGCCAAACGCTACATCCTAACGGACATCTAGCAAGAATTACACGCTATTGCTGGCACATGCAAAGTTAGACTGGCAGTGATGGATCGGTTGTTACCAAGGGAACTTTCGCTCACGTACTTTTTAAGCAAAACTGTTTATAAATGGAAGATGGAAACTATTGCATCCCCGAGAAAGATGGTGAAGTGGTTAGTCCCAGGAGGTGCACGCTAGGCATGTTATTACTGCCGTCCAGACACAACGCTGCCCTAGAGGCTACCGACTGGGATGTTGGCTCCCCACTCACCGCCTGATAAATAAAGTATAGACGACAGCTACCAGCGGCGCTACAATCGCAATAAACACATCGTCAAAATGTGGCCACCGAGTGCAGGACCTTCGGACATCTTCACTTACTTGCATCTCATCGCCGGTATTCCATCATCTCTCTCTCTTCTCGTTTACCGAATGACGGAATATCAAATAATTGGTTAGACTTCAGCCAATACAAGAATGCACTCAACTTTCATTTATCCTACCTTCTAACGTAGCGTATCTTCTGGGCTTCTCCATCTCCCGCGAGATGCATGCAAAAAATTGCTGATAATACCGATCGAAATAGGAAAATATCTACACAAAATTTAAATTATTTTTAGCAAATCAAAATTTCTTAAATAAAATATTTCTGTTCCGATTTAATATCAAACAACAATAATAATAATGGAGAGAAAAGACAACGAACCAAGAGAAATCATTCGATTAAAATGTATATTGAAAAACAATAATCATTTCTTCTTCTTCTTCTTCTTCTTCTTAACTACAAAATAATTTGTATTTCGGCGAATAAAACTCCAGTTTTATTTATTTATTTATATACAAAGATAAATGATTTTTCCTTAGGAAAATAAGCCTTTTTCTTACGTAACTTGCTAGACATTCCTGTACGAAACAGGACGTAATTATTTATAGCTAGTTTTTAAATTGGAAGAAGAAGAAGAAGAAGATGATGAGAGAGAAGAAGAAGAAGAAGAAGGAAGAAAAAAAACCGTTTTATTTGAAATTCTACTACATTTATTCTGTGTGACCGGGAATTTTACACATCAATGGGTACACATGAAGGAGATAAGACAACATCGTACACCGAACACTCTTGTTAAGACTACAAGACATAATTAGTGAGTAGCATGCTTGACATACATCACACACCAAAGGAGTAATGTAAACAAGTAAAAAAAAAAAAAACCTTAAAATATCGTTTAAGAGCATGGGAAAATACCTGTTACCTGGTCAATAACTCTTATTGATATATTCAGAATCAACAGTCTGTAAATTGTTTTTTTTTTTTTGTTTAGTCGATTGTTCTGTCAATTATTTTTTTTTCTATTAAACTTTGTATTCTAAATGTTAAATAATATTTTTAAAAAAAAATTCTATATATAATTAGAGTTAGTTTTAGTGGGTGTGTTAATCAATGTTTAGTCGATTTATAGCCACTTCCTTCCAGATATTTGTGTGTCAATTAGATAAATATTAGATGACATCCATTACTTTCTTCTTTAATGTTTTATACAGATTGTGTGATAAAATCAATTCTTATAAATACCTCGACTAATTTATATCGAGAGATGGCTCGATATATATATATATTTTTTCTATACGTGTATTACATTAAATATATATGCTAGAATTAATTATTTTATAAATTTATATTTTAGTAACACTATAAATTTCTATTTTTGACAGATTTTAAGTATGTTTTAAATTTTTTTAAACGTATATTTTCATAGAAAATACGTGAAAAGATGCGTGCTTGAGGCAAGAACGTGTTAGCTCATTTATTCAAGTTTTTGGTAAAATCACCCCCCTAAATTCGTATTGTATCTTAGAATAGATCACAGGTGTTTAATGATATTACGTAGGACATTCTATATCAAGTTATGAGTCGAATTTGGAAGTTATTTTTTGT